TTTCAAGCTTTCTTAATATTATTTTTATTAGAAAAAAAAATAAAATTGAGAATCAAATTTTGGAACATAAAAAATAATAATTACGTAAAAAATGGTCAAGTAAATACAAAATAGTTTAGTTGTTAAAATATGAAAATTATAATATTTTCCCACGAAATCTGAAAATATTTATCTTTTTCCCACTAATTCATTAATTTTAGAGAGTCATACTGTCAAATACACAGTTTGCCTTTAAACAATAGGCTTCACAGTATTCAAGTCACGTCACAAAAACTGAAACACGCTTTGAAGATATAAATATGAACACATTGTCTCCAATAATGACACGGCAATTATTTTTTTTCCATTAACATTATACATTGGAGATGCTCTAAACAACAGCCAAGTTACAGTGTCTAGTGGTGGAAGGTCATCGGGTGGTTTTATTCAAGGAAAACGTACACATGTTGGAGATCTTGCAACTTGGAATAAACAAGTGCTTGGGATCGTGAATTTTTTGTGATTGAATTCGCTCCGTAAATATAAATTATGATTAAGTTAATGACAGTAGGCAGATTCTGTGAGGTAACTTAGTTTGCATCAAGACAATATTTAGGTTCAATACTACACAAATGATTGGAACTGGAAAACTCATCAAAACCTTTTGTAATTATACATAATTTTATTTGGTGAATTTTTGCAAATACTTTTGCTTTCCCATAGACATAGTCATCCCATTCCCGGCCTGGCCCGTCCCGGCCCGCAACTAGCCCGTAGATTGCCAGTCCCGAGAACCAGCACCGTGACTTTATGGGTAGTTTCTGGGTCATTTTTCTTTGTCCCGGCGGGTTGGCCGGCACGGAGTTGAAAATTCAATATATGCCAATAGGAACTGAAAATTTAATAAACGCACAAGTGCCGTAGCAAAATAGCTTGACATTTTATCTCAAATTTCTCTCAATCTCTCATAGATAATTAATTAGATACAAACTGAAAAATTGAAATCCAAGTGCATAGGGCAAAAACGCCTCTTCAAGGCGATGAACACGAGTATACGCAATTGCACCAAATTACTTGTAATTTTTCGAAACCACGAACAACCCAACCATACAAAATAACCTTATATTAAATAGCCCAACTTTTGTACAAGACAAATGAGGAATTTCATATTAAAAA